ACAGAAAAAGTGAGTTGTCAAATCAGTTTCGAAAAGTAATCAGAAATTTTTGTAGATCTTTCTTTCCAACATCCTGCAGCCTTCTTTCTTGTTTTTCATATTATCATATTTATCATATGCACTTCTTTATAGTTATCACCTCAGGATTGAATGTTCCAGGATGTCCAGAGCTGTATATCATAATAAAACTGATTGCCATAAAATAAAACGCGCGATACAACTGCTCAATAATTATAACTCAAAGTTATCTATTGTTATATAACTCTTGGTATTTGTTCAGTTGTAATCGCGTCTACTTTGCCAATGGTAATTGCAACTTTTGTTCGTTGTCCGAACTAGATCAAAAATAAAATTTATATCACCAGCTTTCGGTAAAAACGTGAACTAGTGAAATGACTTCAGGAAATTTGCCCCCTGTATTTCAAGTTTCTTAGTCTCCTTCCACAAAAACGACCACAATGATAACTATAACATAACGTAACATCGTGCACTGGGAACTGATGATTAGTGCCAATTAATTTCAATTATTTCTCATTGTTATATTGCATGGCTCAGTTTTCTATATATTTACTAAATGCTTCCGCGAGCCCGGCCCTTCCGCCCTCAAACTCGCGCGCGCTTGTCTCAAAATTTCAATAAATTAGTGAAGCTCCAAAGAAACTTTCGCGGAAGAAAGCTTGTTTACCATCAATTTGTTTCTTTCACTCAATTCTCTTGGTTCTTGATTAATTCCTTTTGAAATGGTCTATGGAGTGTGCCTGCCGAATTTCTCCATTAGAGTTGTCTGTTCCGGACAGATCAGTAACCTAGGAACCTGGGAACGAATGTTGACGCTTTTCGCTCGCCTGACTGAGCATGCGTGCTTGCCAAGGCCGTTGTCCAACGATAGATCGTTACTCTTCAATGTAAAATAGTCGTTCTTTTTTTACACAGTTTCTTTGTTCCGTTAGACTTGTCACAGGTCTAATCTATCTTTGACACTTTGTCGAGCTACGAGCACACGCGATGCGAGTGGGCGACCTACGAGTGACAAAGCGGAAAAATAATACTTGAAAAAAACGATAGTTAGTTTTCTCTTCAGTGTGAATAAGGGAAAGCCCAAACTTGATATATAGCATGGGTGTGAAACACGGTTGCCAGCTATTAGTTAAAAACGTCTTTCATCTTTTCGTGCAGGTTCAGCGGAAACAAATGGAATCCCATTTTCAGTCTGCTACGAGGCTCCATCTTGATTTAGCTTGTGTAAAGTTAAATAAAACAGAAGTTAAGTTAAATAAAACAGAAGTTAAGTTAAATAACACAGAAGTTAAGTTAAATAATACAGAAGCTAAGTTGAATAATACAAGAAGCTAAGTTGAATAACACTACAAGGAAACTGATGGAGAAACTCGACACTCTCGAGAGACGATTTGAAGAGAAGGTAATCAAGGACCAAGATAATTTAATTTTAGAGAAAAAGAGACCGTGAAAAATGATATTTCCGATTTTCCGCGGATGTTTGTTTGGAAGATTAATGATTTTAGTGAAATGTTTAGACAAGCGAAGACGGGCGAAAAGGATGACATATATAGTTATCCATTCTACATAGCACGTTATGGCTACAAGTTAAGAGTAAGCATTTATCCTAATGGTAATAGGTCTGGCAAGAATACTCACCTGTCGGTATACGTTATTGTAATGAAAGGTGAATACGACGCTATATTACCCTGGCCTTTCAAAAACGAAGTGAAGTTTTACATTGATTGATCAACAAGAAGATCCAGTTAAACGGGAAGACGTTACCAAACAGGTCATTCCAGGCAATGTACCAGAATATTTTGCAAGGCCTGTGGAAGAAGAGAACATAGGGGCCGGGTATCCTAAGTTTATATCTCACAAGCAACTTCATTCACGGCGCTACCTTGTGGATGATACTCTGTTTCTTGAGGTTGAGATCGGCCCGCCATCCAATTTATTTTGAATTTTTGTCTTTACTCTTAACATTTCAAGAACGTAAAATATAGCGTCAGCTGCACATATGGCTTTCACAGTGAAACAATTATTACAATTACTAGGTGGATTGGCCGATCAAATACTGAAAAACGGCGCTGAGACATCAAATTAGTAAGTGTACTCAGGACTACGAGCAGGCTCTTTTTCTTTTCCTAAGTTTCTATGGCGAGAGAAGAAAGGGAAAGATAGTTTAAGCACAGACGTTTTTGAGCCATGGACGGCGACCGGAAGTTGAATGTTCTCTTCTTTGCATAGTATCGACTTTTGTCCATGACGTCTCTGAATGCTAAAACTGGCCGAGTAAAGGCCATGTTACACGAGGCAATTTTCCTTGCAACTTGCAACACAACAAACGGTGCATTTCCAGCTACCAAAAAAAGTTTACGTATCACATCCCATTTTTGCAACGGCAATGCAACAAAAATGTTGCGTTACGAGTTGCAAGAAAAGTAGAACTATCCTCTACTTTTCGCAACGTTGCGAGACAAGTTGCTTCGTGTGAAACGTCAATCGCAACTTGCAACGCAATTTTGTTCAAATGAGCCAATCAGAGCGCGTCCTTCGCTTGCGGGAGATTTCAAGATGGCGGCGCGTTGCAAGTTGCAAGTTGTGAAAAAAAATTGCGAATGTTTGACAACCTCTCTGTAACTTGCAATGTTTTCTAGTCGTCATCGTTGCGTTGCAAGTTTCAAGGAAAATAACGCGCCAAAAACAATAAGAGTTTCACCTTCCTTCTCCCGTGAAGGATCTGAGGATAAAAGAAGCGACAGTTCACAGTCTATAGTAACTTTAGGAAGTTTGGAGTCCGATATTTACCACGTGCCGAACTATTAAAAATAGCAAAAATAAGAGACTTTTATAGATGGCATGCATTTCAATACATTAAAGTCAGCATTGTTTAAGTTAGTAATTAATGAAAACAAATGGTGTGTTTAATGAACCAAAGTGTTTACTAAGCATATTGTATTCAGGGTCGTTTGGCAAAGGAAAAAACTTTTCAGATCGTTTTAATTAAAATTCCTAGTTGCTAGATTTGTTTTCACTATTACTGTAGACATTATTGCTACATCGCAGAAAATATTCCAGATAGAACTACTCTGTAAATCGATATTCTGTCACACCATAGGAAACTTAAAGGTGCTACGTCACGGATGGCGCATCTTGAAAAAATTTTGCCAATTTTTTCAAGTTCGCCGTTCACAATCCGTCTTAATCTTTCCGGGCCATCCTCAACCATCCTTGTTTCTGTTTGGTTTATTATTACCTCTTTGGTGTTTTTCTACCTTAGACGTTAGTAAACTATTCTTTTGAGGCTTTCTTCATTTTGAAGGTGATTTTGCACTTCGCAAAATTGACTTAAAATATCGTGACATAGCTTCTTTAAGCTTTTTACAGTTATATAAGTGACAGTTATGTGTGGAGATTAGAACTGAGAATTCTTATAAGATAAATCACTCATAATAAATGTGATGAAAATTTACCTGGAGTTGTTGTCTATCGTTTTAACTTGTTTCCTCCAAATCCGACAAAATCACCCCCGCTATTTATTTCAATTCACTAATCCTCTATCCCTTTCTCTCCTTCATAAACATCTTAAAATTATCAAAAACTGAATTCTTAAAAAATTATGGTACCTTCCACTGCCCATCTAGTATGACGGTATTTTATTGATTTCATGAAACCTAAAAGAGGTCAAGGGAGAATTGTACGCTGTTTGATCGGCCTAGGCGTGTGAGAGCCCGGGGAGACCGCTCCCCCTCTCCTTTGGTATGGAAAACCAGTTGTTTCAGTTCAGTTGGAATAGAGTGGTAAAGTGTGACGTCACAAATTTGCAAATTATTTTATCAAGCTTCAAAATCCCATAATTAGATAAAGATTGCTGCTGTATGATCAGCCACACAATTTCAACTTGTTAGCATGAATAGAACAGAAGATACGGAGTTTCAAAGTTTGGTACCGTCCCATACAAACCTCTCTAATTTTGCACCTGTTCTAAACTGAAGGAACAGACGCAAAATTAGAAGGGTTTGTATGGAGAAATTAAAACCTTAAGGAGTCAATATCTCGGCCGCAAATTGCAGGAGCTAATTTTGGCAAGTGGACCTGATTTTCTGGCATGCTTCCTAATTCCACTTAATAGCTGATCAAATTTCAGAATTTCGCAAATTTAATTTTTGTGACGTCATAACTTTAGTACTCTATTCAAATGAAACCGTTGTTCCCAAAGGAAAATTTTCCGGAAAAAGGGAATACCTTCAATGATTTTCCGCACATTCACCATTTTTAACAAGTACTCAGGGCTTCCGTACTTGGCAACAGTCAAACATTTCGTCAATAGTGCCAATTTTAAGAGTGCAACGGGTAGCTAAAAGCAATTATATCCCAGATAGAAGTACTCTGTAAATCAATAATCGGTCACAACAACAGAGAAGAACTGAGAATTCTTAGCATAAATGAAGAATAAATTACTCATGAAAAATGTGATGAAATTTGCCATGAGTTGTTGCTGTTTTCCTCTCAAAATCAACAAAATCATCCTTTTTCGCTATTTATTTCCAATTCGCTAGCCTCCAACGCATCCCTCAGTTCTCTCCTTCAAAACAATTTAAAATCATCCAAAATTAACTTCTTAAAAAATTATGGCACATTTCACTACACACCTGGTATGACGGTATTTTATAGATTCCATGAAACCTCAAAGAGGATCAAGTGGGAGACAATTGTACGTAGTTTGATCCGCCTAGGCGCACGAGGGCCCGAGGGAGACCGCTCCCCCGAACGGCCGAAATGTTTCACCCCCTCCCTTTTTCAGCAAGAAAAACCCGTCCCACCGCATGATGATCTGACTGAGGAATACTTAGTTTCGATAACTTGCATATTCCATAAATTCCATCACATTGGGATGCGGGCTGTAAGCGCAATTTCGCGACTGTGAATTCAAACTAGGTGGAAATTGAGAGATATATTATTCTGTCAGTGACACAAACTACTCGGAAAAAAATTCCGAGTTCTCCCAACAGAAGTCGAACCTATGACCTTCCGCACACCGGTCGGACGCTCTACCACTGAGCTACAGGAGACTCGTGGGAGCTAAGGCGATATAACTACGTTCAAGTGTGACAAACATCCCGCATACTGCTAGGACTAGATTTGTCGATGAATGAGAATTTGTGGAAAGAAATGATGGTATATTTTAAGCTTGGTAGAAATATGAGAGAGATATTGTTCTGTCAGTGACACAAGCTACTCGGAAAAAAAAATTCCGAGTTGGAAATTATTTTCTCCCCCTTTGATACATGTACAGAGATCAGATCATTAGGTACTATGGACCAAAATCTGGAACTCTCTGGACGATAAACTAAGAACTGCTCCCACCATCCAAAATTCAGGAAAATGACTTTCGACACATGTAACTGTTATTTAAATGTAGTACTTAGAATTCCAATGTTTTATTAATTTAAGTTTAAATCAAGTAATAAGTAATAAATAAGTTTTAATACCAATTATATTTATAATGTAAATACATTTGTACGATGCAATTAATGTAATGTCACTCGACTCATTAGCGATCTAGAGGCCTAATAAGCCTCATTTGTTCGAGAATAAATACAAGTATGTAAGTAAGTAAGATCGTATTACTTCAATGGCGTGTAAGTATAAGAACGTAACAAATTCTTGGTTTTCACGTGACGGACATCAAATTCTAAAATTCTAAACCGCGAGGCCAACAGAATTTTTACCTCCATTCAACGAAAGATTACCTAAATATATATCTTTTCACAATTTCTTAGCTCGATACCATGCTTCCTTTTGAAAATAGAACCGTTTAAATTTCCGAGTTTTCATCGTACGTGACATCAGGAGGACGGCCGTGACAGAGCTGTTCCGTATCTAAAAAGTCACTCTTCGGGTGATTTTCAGCATTCTAAACAATCTAAGTTTAAGGAGAAATATTTATCTAAATATTCGGAATGTCACAAGAGAAAACAAACCTCCTTTCTGGCAAAAGTGAACTCCAGACATGGCGTCTCCATACTAAGCTCTATAAATTTGTGTGGAACATTTTGACAAATAACTCGAGTACGGAATACCGCACAGACCTGAGACTGGGACTGATTCCTTATTTATTTATTATCTATGACATGTCAATTCCTTGACTTCATTCATTGAACGGTTTCGATTTTTTTAATTTATGGCGTGACAGTGAAAACCGAGAATATGGCACTTTTCTTGATAGACTTGTAGTTTATGTCCCTCCAAAAAAACTTTTTTCTTTCTCTTTGTCTCCCCTCCCCCCCCCCCCCCCCCCCCCACCAAAAAAGAAAAATTGTCCCTCCAAAAAATAAAAGATAGTGTCCCCCCTCGGCTTTCGTAGTGTTACACAATACTCTAATTGCGCAAATATAAAAGATTAGATTAAGGTCAAAATTTACGTAAGTTTGAGTTTGACCCCACAAAGCTTTCACTTTCCAAAATGGCGGAAGCTACAACAGATCGGCTCCCGTCGGGTTATGACGAGGACTTTGCAAATGCAGTTGAAGACGAGCTTCTCTGTTTAATATGTCATTTGGCGCTGAAGGAACCTGTGCAAACGAAATGCGGCCACAGATTTTGCAAAAGAATGCCTCGAGGAACATTTTAGAAGGTGCGGTTTTGAGTAATATCGTCGGCAGAATAGTTAAAATGTTATTTGAGTTTACATGTAACAGCCGGAAGTGGCCGTCGTCACAAAACGTCCTTATGAAAGTTTTCTATCATTTTGACCAACAGAAGCTGAGTTAGTTAGTAAGATATTTAATGGAAAGATATGATCGAGGTGAACATTATTCACAATAGAGTCTTTCGGTTCATATGCATGCAAATCACGGTTGATTCCAGTTGATGCGCTCGATAAAAACCGCTATAAATCAACCTTATATAATTATATCCAGATAAGTTTCAGTCTCTTACGATTAACCCAAGGAACATAGATGCAGACAATAAGGGCAACGTTCTCAACATCGCCGATGACGAGGTCACGAAAACTGAACAAATCAAGTTACTAGGAGTAAATATAGACGAGAATCTTAACTTTACGCAACACATTAGTGAAATATGCACTAAAGCCAGCCAGAAAGTAGGAGTCCTCATGCGCTTGCGCAATCTTATTCCATGCCAAGCCAAGCTCACACTGTATAAAACAGCTGTTATGCCACACTTAACATACTGCCATTTAGTGTGGAACTTTTGCAAATCTTCAGACGGGCGAAAAATCGAACGCATCCAAGAACGAGCCCTACGTGCAGTCTACAAAACAACAACAGAGACATATGAGGAACTTCTCAAGCGCGCTAAGTTACCTACGCTTCACAATAGACGCCTACAGGGACATTGCAATACTAATGTACAAAGTAAAGAACAATCTAGTACCTAGCTACATATCTGAGATGTTTACTCGTAAGGGCACTCGTTACAACCTTAGGAACAGTGACTTCGAAATTCCACGATTTAATACTATATGTTATGGTAAACACACACTTAGGTATCAAGGACCATATATCTGGTCGGAAATTAGGAAACAGTATGCGTGAACTACCAAGCCTTAGCTCGTTTAAAGCTAACATCCGTAGCGTTGACCTGGCCAGCCTAGTGGAAGACAGCGGCAACTGCTGCAACCTTTGTAGCATGTGATTATTTAAGATTATTTATATTTTAATAAGCATTTTCTCATTATGTAATCTTAATATTTAAAATTTTAATGTATTAAGTTTATTTAGCTCAATTATTACTGTTATAATGTACATAGGTTTTTTTATTAGAATCATAATTACTTTGTAGTAGGTGTCCCCAATTAGCTCTATGAGCTAAACACATTGACACATTAATAAAGATATTATTATTATTATTATTATTATTATATGTATATAAGGTCTAATCATTTGTAATTGTATTCGTATTATGCCATCTCACTGATACCAATTTAATGAATTGTAATAGATGTTAACTCACAGGGAGGCTACAGTTTGTAACTGAGCCCGAGAGGCCTTTTCTTTAGTCTTCCTCCCAAAGCTATTTTATTGTACACTTGTATAACGTGATGGGAAATAAACATTCGTTCGTTCGTTCGTTCGTTCATTCAAAACCAACTCATAATTAATTTAAACTGTTTGGCTTTCAGCGTCACACGATACATTTTCTTATGTTTACCATAACTCAGTTAGATCTTATGACCTGAAATATTTCAGTTGAAGACAGAAATTACAATAGAAATAGAAAGCGGAAATCAAATGTTTTCAGAATACTAAATAGTTTATGCATGGGTACACTTCATTCATCCACATTCTCGTTAGCTGGTTATCATGGGGTACGACAATTAAACTGTCAGTGACAATTAAACTGGGGTACGACAACTAAATTGAGACTTTGCCGCCGACCGGAGCGCAACTGGTTTGCGCGACACACGAGACAACTTATCTGACGACAACAGATACCTTGAACGTGTGTTTCCTGGTGTTTTTTTTACAAGAACAAATATAACTGACGAAACGAACAGTAACCACACTACAGCGACTATACACTGGCTATATCGATCCTACATCAAGGGCACTTCTGACACCCTCGTACGGATCCTCAGTCGGCAGCCTTACAACATCTGCGTAACGGCCCACAAGGCTACTCAGTTACATCGGCGAGACTGGCAGAAACGTTGTCGAAACGTACGTCACCAATACAGTCCTTTACGACTACCCACGATCGGACGATCACACTAGGCGAACTACTGATACTCCTGGGTTCAAACCATTTACTAAATTTAGAATATATGGCGGGCAATTCTTGTCAGTGATAAAAATATCAAATACATAAGGTTAAGCTAGCTTGGAAAGCCTTTAACTCATATTTGTATTTTTATCGACACTTTTTAACAGACAGGATGTTCAACGCCAACCTTTAACTTGTCCTGCGGACAGGGGGAGCATGACCGACGCCAGGTAAATATGGCATATTAATTATATATATATTGATCACACGTTCATAACGTCCCCCTTATTTCCTCTTGCGTACCATTAGTCACATTAGTTTCCATTACGATTTGGAACTCAACTGTCCCATAAGATTCGTGAACAGGTTAAAGAACGAAATTTAGTGGAAGATAAGATTTCATCAAATTATCATCACTGAATACCCAGGGTTAGAGATAGAAACGTCGGTTATGGACTCTTGCTATTATTTGATATTTCTCTGTAATTTACGTAGCTACTGTGGTATGTGTATAGCCTGCGTGCAGACGTCTCCTATTTCCTTAGTATGTGTACAGTTACTTCAGGATGCATTGCATGTTGCACAAACAGCACAAAAAACTTCATATTTGATATTAGCAAAACTCTACTAGTATACTAATGCAAATGAGACAATCTGATTGGCTGAGCTACTCGTACACTCTCAGCCATTAGTGTGCAATGGCTGGAGAACGTCTACAAGATTGCGGTTTCTTCTCGTTTCTCCGAGGTTTCCGCGGAAGAAGATTTAGAGTTAATACTAGACAATTATTATGATTTTTACTAAAACAATTAGATTATCGGCTCTCAATTTCTATGATGTGATAGTTGACTCGGCCTACGGCCTCATCAACTATCACATATCATAAAAATCTCGAGCTCATAATCTAATTGTTAAATAGCCTTTACTCAGTGGTTATGGAACCCGGGGTGGTACTAAAAAAAAAGTTTTTTACGGGGAGGCTCCGCCCAGAGGTCCAACCCCTTACACTTTTATATACCATTTTTGACAGAAAAGGTACCCCTTTCATATACCTTCCATAGAAATTATGAAAATGGTACCCCTTTCACATACCTACAGTAGAAACACTGCATTCCTTTTCTATACCCTTGGAATGAACTTAATGAACAATATATCTCCCCAGAAGGAAGTGGAAGGAAGTTGTCTTACGATGGCTAAGAACTTCAAACCTGCAGTCCACCTCATACCTAAATGACAGTTTTCCCTACCCTTTTCTATACTCCAACTCATGAAATCCCTACCCTTTTCTATACTCCAACTCGTGAAATCGCTACCCTTTTATATACCTCCAGTCTGAAAAGGT